GCTCTTTATTTATCAAGGTTCTCCTGAAGAATATTCATATCTGTATGTTCACTAGACGAAGATTTTATTTTTAATCAATACATTAGATGAGGAATTCGATCCACTTCGACATATTTTAGAAATTGACTTTAATTTAACGATAATAATCATTGAAAGAAAATTGTTTCAAGCACCGACAAATTAAATACGGAAGCGCAATTTTTTTTAAAAGAGAGGAGGACTGGTTATTCACGTTTCATTCGATGGTTAGAGGCGAATTGAAAGCTACGCTGTGGAAATTCTAAAGATTCCCCGGGGAAAATAGAGTTGTCTCCTACGCTACCCATAATATGTGGAAGTATCGACGAAAAATCGACCTCTTACAATATATATAGCCCTTATAAATCTAAATTGAAAACCAATAGACAGTAGACAAAATCAATAATGAATGTCTGAGAATTGTACCAAGTGCACATAAAATAATGTTGAAGATAATTAAACCATGTGACAACTTAAAAGGAAAATGAAACTTTGAAAAGCTATGCTAATTTTGAGCAATTTTTGGCAGAGTTTTTTGTCCCAACTTGCAAATGAAAATTCAAGGGACCAATTGTACCTTTTTTTTTAAAATGTGAGGACCATTATACAAACACAATATTTTCAATTTTCAGTAAACTGTACTTATATATATTGAATATTTAATGTCACCCGCCTGAGATAAATTAAATGGTTGGCATTAAATTTTACACATCTTATTTTTTGGTATGTTACCATTATGTAAACGTATGTTCAAGACCAATAGAAATATCCCATGTGCTTGTAACAAAAAGTAAGGTCATGTTTGGATGAAATAATGTGAAATTAACTAATTGGAGGATTTTGAGGAAATAATTTTAAAGATACTCCCTTTGTTCCATAATGTACAGTTAAACCTCTATAAATTAATACAGTTGGGACCATCAAAATTTCATTAATTTAGCGAAATATTAACTTATCGATAAATTAATAATTATTAATTTATACATTAATTAATAATTTATTAATTTATGAAATTATTTTTATTATTATTTTCAATAAATATAATTTTTTTTTAATTTTTTACGCGTATATTATTCATAGTACCATTAGTTCAACGCACTATAGAGCCCGCTTCACGAGCGGAAGCTCTTAAAGCAGCGATGTTATTGAACAATTTCATGTTGATTTATGCGAAAGCTATAATAGAGGTTCTAACCATGTTAAAAAAAAGTGAGACACGAGATTGGTGGTAATGTGAACTTCAACAAAAACAAAGGGCAATGAAATTATATTTTATTAAACCTTCATAGATCTATAAAATATGTATTGCACCATGTAATTTAAGAATTATTTTTATGAATTATTACTTTATATATTATATGGGGCTTCTTAAAATTTTTGACTGTGTATTATCTTATATGTTCAAGACCAATAGAAATAGCACGTTGTCCCCGAGTCGGGACCAAGTAAGGTCATGTTTGGATGAAATAATGGTGAAATTAACTAATTGGAGGATTTTGAGGAAATAATTTTAAAGATACTCCCTTTGTTCCACAATGTATATTCTTCATTTTTTATAATTTTTTTTTTTTGTCTATATTACAGTTAAAAAGGAATGGAGGGAGTAGTATATAAGACGAATATGAAATCTACCACACATGACTCGAAAAATATATAGATCAAAATTATTTCATTAAACGGGATCAATGAATTTGTTATTGTGGATTTAAATTTTTTTAACTCCATGTGCACGCACCCTGCTATATATCCGAATAAAAGCCTTATACCCCGTTTGGTTGGCAAGATAAGATTAACTAAGATTGATTAAGTAATCTAATGAAACCCAATTATTTTATTGGAGCTCGTAATGTTCAACCAAAAAAAAAAAAACTCACTAGAAGGCAAGATAAACCAAGATAAGCCATGAATATATAATTTTGGCGGGTTGACCGGCAATTTATTGGGGACACCAAACATCAAGGTAAGTCCAACTATTTAGTTAATGATCATGACTTATCTTGGCAACCAAACGAAGTCTTAGTTTGTGTTTGCAAAAGCTAATTATTTAAAAGTAGAAGTTAGTAACTGTGAGTTAAGTTGGCATTAAATACTTATTTTTAAAAGTTGATGGTGTTTGCAAGCATGTTGGAAAATCAACTAAAAAAAAACAGATCCAATGATCGTTTTCAAACTATAGCTTAAAACAACTTATTTTAAGAGAAGTTTCAAAAGTGATTATGAGCCCAAAAGAAGCTCAAAATCACTTTCCAGAAGTTTTTGTTTTCTTATGATAATTAATTTATATAATCTAAAATTCTAAACATCTTCTTTTTATTGAAAAAAATAAAAATAGACAACTGAATCCAAACACGACACTAAATTGGTACTAGAGCACTTCCCCACATTTACTGGAGAAAAGTGTATACAGTGGACCATAATAACATGTGTGTAATAAAGATGGACAAAATTGTAATTACAATCTTCTTCAGGGTAACTTTTGTAAAGGACGTAATTTAATTTTATTTATCTTTTTCCTCATTTTTTTTTGGACACACGAGGTTGGATTTTCTGGATGTGATGGTTTTCAATTATGTTAGAGAAGAAGTGACAGCTTTCTTTTTCACCAATAAATTACTACTCTTTTTAATTTTAATCAAACATAAATGGAGTATTAATATTATTAAAAAAAATAAAAATTTGAAGCTTTATAATTAATCATTATAATGGTTGTATTGCCACGTCATCAATTGACAAATAAAAATTCGTACATTATTTATATTATTAAATAAAAATAATGCTTAATTGATTTGCTTTGCAGGAAAAAAAATGTGAGGACAAATTAAATTAAGAGGCTACATAAATAATCAATTAAATGAGAAAAAATTGGAAGATATGTTTCTGATTTCACTGACAACTACGTATCTCTGTGTGTGTCTGTAAGAGAAAGGAGAGCCTGTGCGAACGGTCAAATCAGATTTAATTAATTGTTTAATCCCTTTATTTATTTTTTGTTTTAATCTGCTTATGAATATTATTTATTTAAATTCAAATATTAATATTGTTATTCTTGTAGATATATATTTTTTATTTCACATATAATAAAAGGTTTAGGGCAAATATATGCAGGTGGACTGTTACCTCAATAGTTTGGTTAACAAATTTAATTAATATAGGATATTTTTTTTTTTGAAGGGTAATATAGGATATTTGAGTAAGCTTAAAATTTAGATATTTTATTAGCTCATACATTAATTGAAGATATTTTTTCAACTTCCAAACTCTTGTAACAACTTTCGATTTTCCTTTCTTCTTACGGTGTTGTATTCGGTGATCGATCGTAGGCTTATTAGGTTGAACGTTTGTGAAATCCGATTTCGAAGCATTACAGATTTATAATAAATAGTATTAAACCATAAATAAATGATGTTGTACTAAAGTCACATTAAAACTATGATATAAATGACTTTGATATTATTTTTACAATTTGTTTTATATTATACTGATTTTTGATTATTTATTAATAATTTGGGGTTTTGATGAAAGGACCTTGAGGACTAGACTTCCAATACAAAGGTAATAATAGTAAGTTCAGAGGATAGGTAATAATTTGGGCTTATTGAACCATACTAATTTTCTATCAAAATATTTTTAATTACCGTATTGAAATTCCATAAATGGTGGACATCCAAGGGGGAGTATTATGAATTCTTGGAGGTTATGGATGACCACCATTACACTCTCCATTAAGCCTATTTACCTCCACCATTATTCATCATTAAGGTCTTGTAACTCATGACCTTTGACTAGCTTTTCTACACCTATAAATTAGGTGCAATGCATTGTATTGTATATACTTGAAGATATGGAATAAAATATCACATATTCTCCCTACTTTGTTCTCTTCTTCTTGTATATCATTTGTTAGTTTTTTAACAGTTAATAATTAATTATACTTTTAGGCATGTTAAAAATATTTTGAACGCTTTTACTAATGATGATATAATTCACATTAAGAGTTATTTTATTAGAACACTTATATCTTAAAAAATGGTGGTTTTGAGTATTTTAAATAAGTATATGCTTTGAACTAGTTTGACCAAGTATGTTTAGAACACTTATTACCACACTGTACTGAATTTCGATACATCGCATATTTCGTAGGGCAATGGTAATGAATTTCATGATACCGAAATTTCGGTAATAGTAATGATTCAAGGGTTTGGTGCGTGGGTTGAATTACTAAACCTACCCCTATGTATGTTATACTTAGTATCAAATTTAACGAACAAATTACGGCTACCCCTTGAGGTAATGTCAAATTTCGTAAAATCCGCTCTTGTTTGGACAATTACAACCACCCCTCATCTTTGTATTGTCTTACACGTCGACTCTTACGTTATCAAATTTACCTACCGAACGATGGATTTTTCAGTAAAACAATACATGTTGAGGGGTGGTGGTTGTAATTATCCAAATATATAAGAAGTGTATTTTTATAATTTAACCTTAGCTCAACGGTGACCGTAATTTTTTGCCAAAATTAAATACACAAATTTAAATTGAAATATATTATTATACTTATATATTAAAAAAAAAAAGGAAAATTGGGAATCGAGATAATTTTTATTTTATATAATTAGGGTTCACACACACACATATGCACACACAAAGAGAGAGAAAGAGAGAGAGGGGGGGTGTTAAGTATGAAAAGAACAGGTGAATGGGTGAAAGCTAATCGGCCCATGCACACGTCCTTTTCTCACTCCTCTCCCCCACCTCTGCCGCGTCTGCTGCCCCTCTCTCTCTCTAGATCTCTCTCTCTCTCTCTCTCTCTCACACACACACACACTTCACACCCACAAACACCATCGGAAATGTCAACCATACATTTCCAGCATATGTATGTATGTATACATGAACAGTACCCACTTCTACGTATATACATACATGTACACATGCATATCATGTACGTATATGATGATGAACATAGCTTCTCTCTTAAATTCTCTCCACTATATTAGTGGGCACCCTTCTCTCTCCTCTCTCTCTCTCTCCTGATCTCTTCTTGTTGTGTTTTTCATAAATCAAACACTCCCCACCACCAAAGAGAAAAACATTTCACAGAAGAATCAGATCCAATAACACCATCATACATACATATATACCTTGATCAATCAATCCATCAATCAATCAAATCCAAAAAAAAAAAAAAAAAAAAACAAAAAAAAGAAAACCCCAATATTAATAAGAACAATGTCCTCCTCATCTGCTTTTGCACCGGCCGACCACCACCACCACCACCACAACCACCACCTCTCCCCTTCCGAGCAGCTCTGTTACGTCCAATGCAACTTCTGCGACACTGTCCTCGCCGTACGTATATCTTCCTCTATCTACCTATATCTATATTTTCTTGAAAATTTTTGCTTCTTTGTTATATATATATATTTATAATTCAATTTAAATTCTTGAATGAATGAATTGAATTTAATTAGGTGAGTGTTCCGTGTACGAGCTTGTTCAAAACTGTGACGGTGAGATGCGGCCATTGCACGAACCTTCTCTCCGTCAACATGCGGGGGTTGCTCCTCCCTGCCGCCGCCCCCAATCAGCTTCATCTCGGCCACTCTTTCTTCTCTCCCCAGAATCTTCTGGTACATATACATACACATAAACATACAACATACAAGCACTACTTATACAATCTGAGTACTAAAGATTAGGGTTTCTTGATTAATCAAAACAAATTAATATCTAGTTTGTTTCATTTCATATTTCTGAAATCAAACTTAGGTTTATGCCAATTTGGGTTTTTTTTTTCTTCTGGATTTTGTATATATTTGGGACTAATTAATTAATTTTTATTTTTATTTTATTTTTCACATTATAAAGGAGGAGATTCGAAGCTCGCCTTCATCGAACATGCTGATGAATCAGGCGAACCCGAACGAGTCGTCGCTGATGAATATTCGCGGAATCGAAGAGCTTCCTAAACCTCCCGTAGCTAACAGACGTGAGATATTTATTCATTATATTATACGCCTAAATTATATATATATTTTGAAGTTCTTGAAATTATTATTGCAGATCAATCTTTATTTATTTATTTATTTTTCCGGTAGAAATTCGTCTACCGTCCATCGAAAAATAATTTTATCCTGTGTGTATCTGTGTGTGCTTTTATGTTTTTTTTTCTGAGATCTTCAACTCTAACCTTTATAGTATACAGTAGTTTGCTAACCAAATAAGAACTCTAAAACTGCTCCTTTTATTTTTCAAATTTTAAATTCAATAATATGATTTAATGCACACATTGTTCATCAACAGTCGTTTGAACCCAAAAAAAAAAAAAAATCGGTAGCTCGTTTCGAAATTTAAAGATTTTCCGAAACCCTAATCTTTCTTTTCCGGTTGGTCTCTCACCTAATTAGCTCCTCCATTAATTCCTATTTCAAGAATATGTTCATGATTACACTATTTTCTTGGCTTTCTTTCTTTTTTGTTTTTTATTTATTTTCATTAAAAAAAAAAAGAAATAATATTTTATATATATATATAGATATATCCCCCCGGGAATAATGAAAAAAGGAAAAATAGAAAGGCAAAAGAAATCATTAGATAATGATGAAGTAGTGATTGAGGAGAGGTGTGACAGTAAAGATAGTGAATGTAAAAATCCAAATAAAGTCAGCCAAACTGAATTTAATGTCGTCTTCTTTTTTGTTTTATTGTTTTTTTTTAAATTTCTTTTTCTTTTCTTTTATTTAATTATAATTTTTAATTTTTAATTTTTAATTTTCAGCTCCGGAGAAAAGACAGAGAGTGCCATCTGCTTACAACCGGTTCATCAAGTAAGCAAAGCATAAATATACATACACATATACATACACATTACATAGACCCCCTCCCCTCCCTACCCACCCACCCTACCAGGTGTGCATGTGTTTGTGCAGCTTTACTATTAACTTTGTTTCTAACTACATAAATGAAATGTCTGAACATGCTATTATTTAATTTTATAATTAATGATAGTAGCCAAGAAGAACATGCTATTGCCTACAAAAGAATTCTATGCATTTAATTTCAAGAATTTAGTTATTTTAATTCATTATTATAAAAAATTAAAAAAAAATGTTTTGTTTAATTAATTTGCAGGGACGAGATCCAACGTATCAAAGCTGGAAACCCTGATATTAGTCACAGGGAGGCGTTCAGCGCCGCTGCTAAAAATGTAAGATCCAAGAAATTATTTTTATTAATTTATATATATGCATTAATTAAAACTAGGGTTTCCTTTCCTTTTTAACTAGGGTATTCCTTTTTACTAGGGTTTGGTTTTTTGTACTGTATCTTCCCAACATAAAGTATCTTTTGCTAGATGCTTCACTAGGTGTAGATTTCACCATCTCTATGTGTGTAAATTTACTGTAAGAAAAATAAAAAAATATATGGCCGGTGTGGGATTTTTTTATTGATTTTTTTTTTTTTAATTATTATTGATTTGTTTTCTTTCTATCAGTGGGCCCACTTCCCACATATTCACTTCGGACTTATGCCTGATCAACCCGTGAAGAAACCAAATGTATGCCAACAGGTATATCTATCTATCTATATCTATATCTTTATATATATATATATATATATATATATATATATATATATGTCTATTTCAAAACCCTAGATATTAATAAGCACACATTTTTCACACAGCAGATTGTGAGAATTAATTTTGATTAAAAAAAATATATATAAATATGTAGGAAGGGGATGATGTTCTGATGAAGGACGGGTTTCTTGCGGCCGCAGCGAATGTCGGTATCTCTCCTTACTAATTAAGCGAGATCGATCGGAGTTTTTCGTCGAATGTTTTAATCCTCTATGTTAATTAATCTCTATGTATTGTGTACGTCTTTTTTTTATTAATTAGTTTCTGTTATTAGGGTTAATCTATTAATTACTGTGCTGTGTTTTGGCAAAGATGACTATTAACACTACTTTATCGAGTTGCTTGTTAATTAATTAAGCTTCAAATAATGTTCATGCAGGCATGTTAATTAATATTTATTAATTCTTTATTTTTTAGGTAATTAAATTGATTTTTTTTTTTTTCAAATACTAAAATGAGAGTCAATGGTTATATAAGTACAGGTGTAGCATGCATTCAGTGAAACTAGCATGAAAAAAACACACACACTGCATTAAATTCTTGCAGGGAGCATAGTATTATGTATATATAAGTGTTCCGTTCATATATACGTATATGTATATATATATATATATATATATATATATATATATATATATATATATATATATATATATATATATATTGGTAAATTTTTATGCAAAAAAATCCCACCATTAATTATCAGTATATATATCTGACTTGAGAAGAAATGTAAATATTTGAAGCTATATATGTCAGAGGAGTTGAGAGCTAGACTTACTGACTTAGGTAGTACATATTTATTATCACATTATTAATTACTCCAATCTCTCTCTCTCTCTCTCTCTCTCTCTCTCTCTCTCTA